AGTGCTGGGATTATAGGCTGAGCCACCGAGCCCGGCCTCTTTGGAGTGACTTTTGCAAAAACAACTTGACTTCTCACCAGGTATGGTGACTCATGCCTGTAAATCCAGCACTTTGGGAAGTGAAGGCGAGAGGATTGCCTGAGCTCAGGGGTTTGAGACCAGCCTGGGCAACTTAGTGAGACCTTGCCAAGTTCAAAATCAGCTGGGCGTGGTGGCACATGCTTGTGGTTCCAACCACTTGGAAGGCTGAGGCGGAAGGATTCACCTGAGCCCAACAGGTTGAGGCTGTAGTGGCCGTGAGCGTGCCACTACACTCCAGCCTGGACGACAGAGCGGGACTCCAACTCAAGAGAATAAATAATAAATAATAAATATCTAAGCCAAGCATGGTTGCTCGTGTCTGTAATCCCAGCACTTTGGGAGGCCAAGGTGGGCAGATTGCTTAAACCCAGGAGTTCAAGACCAGCCTGGGCAGCATAGCAAGACCTTGTCTCTGCAAATAAATTAAATTATTTATTTATTTATTCTGAGTCAGAGTCTCATTCTGTCATCCAGACAGATGCTCATGGCCACTGCATCTTCGACCTACTGGGCTCAGGTGATCCTTTTCTTCAGCCTTCCAAGTAGCTGGTACTACAGGCGTGGCCACTCTACCCAGCTAATTTTTTTAAAAATTTATTGTAGAGACGAGGTCTCGCCAAGTTGCCCATACTGGTCTTGAACCTATGAGCTCAGGCAGTTTTCTTGCTTCTGCCTCCCAAAGTGCTGGGATTATAGCTGTGAACCTGGCTTTTACAAAAATTTTTTTTAAAGATTAGCCAGGCATGGTGGCACATGGCTGTAGTTCCAGCTACTCCAGAGACTGACGAGGAAAAGTCGCCTAAGCCCAGGAGGTCAAGGTAGTGGTGAGCTGTGATAGTGCCACCGCACTCCAGCCTGGGTGACAGAGTGAGACCCTGACTCAATTAAAAAATAAAAATACTGAGGCAGAAGGATCGCTGGAGCCCAGCAGGTCAAGGCTGCAGTGGCCGGGAGCGGCCACTGCAC